CTTCCAAAAGCTCATCATACGCAGGGCAGGAGGATTGGGAAGGCTCAGCCTCAGCTTCTTCACCCTCCTCAGACATTTCCTGCTCTTCCTGGGCTGAACCCAGTAGAGCACTGGCCCCTGGATCAGACGATGTTAGGGAAATAACATCATCCTCCAGTGGCTCCCTCTCGTCCACAGCCGACGAGCGTGAGAGGGAAAGCCCCTCTTTAAACTCATCGACCAGATCCACCTGCGAGCCCCATGAGCACATTCTCCTCCGTGCCACAGCAGCGGCGGGTCCTGAACCGCGGGATGCAGATGGCTGCCCCTCTTTCCTTGAAAAGAGAGACAAACGAGAGCGGAGCTTTTTCATTGGAAAACGCACGCATGAACACAGATTGCCCCCTCGAGGACATTGCATGCGTGCTCTTCGCCCAAACAAACAACGCATAGATTGTGTGTGTCATCAGGTATCAAATAACATGACACGGATGCACACATCCTCTTAACGCTTTGCTAGTGCTCACCATAATGATAGGAATAGAGATCGCTCTTACTACGGAATGCACGCTTCAAACAAAAAGACGTAGAAGAGAATGATGTGTTCTCCCAGCGCCTATTTATACTATAGTTGCACCGGTAGTGACGTCATGAGCAGTCGCCGGCCAACATGTTGTTGGTGTTTTTTGAATGTATGCTTCAAACACGGGTCACGACGAGACGAGTTCCCCATAGAGGATGCAGTTCGAAGTTCCCTTGAAAGGGAACTGCTTTATTATTTATATAAAGTTTTCTCTGATTTTAATCAGAGTTCTTTTTCAAATAGGCCTATCTCAAGTTTTTATACTGTGCTTCAGAATACAATTCATTTATGAAATATACTTAAAAACTGCCCCTCTCCTCCTGTTAGGATAACTTCAAATAGAACTAAGCAGTGACCTTGAAAATTCGAAAATTGTAGGTTGTTCTCTAATTTTGATCTCCATACTGCCATTGTTTGAATATGTAATCAGTAAAATAATAATCTGATGATGAGCATTTAAAAAGGTAGTATAATCTAATTACAAGTATTACATTTTTTGAATAAAATTCTGTAATCCAGATTACATATCAGTTACCAAGCTAAGATCATTTCAATATAAATACATATTTGATGTCCTCGTGCTTATGTATTTGGTGAATAACTTTGTGTTGGGTCCTCGTCACCTTGTCTGACCAGAGGATATTAACAAGCAACAGTCAAGTTATTGAAAGCAGGCACATATGCATCTGTCAACATCCCTCTCACAACTTTGTGTAATTTGACAGCATTGGAAGAATGTGTCTAATGGTGTTATGGTGGTTTTGGAACAAGGAAGTTGCCATGGTTTGTGAGCTCAACAGCTGCATCAAATAGCCAGTAATTCAGCTCAGTTTAATATTTTGGCAATGGGAAATGACTAGGCATCAAGTCTCCAGCAATTGTGCCTCTGCTACCAACTGCAAAAAACTTTTCCATGCCGATCAAACAGGAAGCCACAGGGTGACCATTAGGCGGTTATTCAACATGCAGACATGGGTGTATGCTTCATCTTTTGACCTAAATGCACCCTTAATTGAGATTTTATGTATTTTTTTACGTCTTATATGGTATATACAACATCTAAGCAGATATCACTATCTGAAATCAGGAAAACTGAAAAAGAAACCTGGCTTGATAGATGTTTGTTTGCAGTATGTGTGGAATGGAAGTTAATTGCAGTGTCCAGTAGTGCACTATTGGACAGACTATCCTGACCACATGCCTTTATTTATTGCTTTGAAGATCAGCCTGTAGAGTAAACATGAAGGCAAGCATCTGTTTTATAATCAGATGACTTACTAATAGATCTGCTAGGCTATTAATGTATCAGAATCTGATGTTGAACTACCATTGATGCGCTTAATGTAATATATACAATTGAAGAATTAATTTGTGACTTTTAACGCAATGTGAGGCAAATTTTTGCTTGCTTCTACATTCAGCTTATTTATTTGATGCATTTAAATAACACTTCATATCCTGTTTAGGGTTATTTGCTGGAACCAGGATTTTCTGTTTTTTATGGTTAGTGGGGAATTCATCCTCCACCAATCCCGTCATTCCTGTTCTCCAGGCTGTGTGTGGAAAAGTGCAGTCCTCCAAGCTAAACACATGGTTAGTGAAAATCCCAGGATCTTCACACAGGACTGCCTGAGAGCTAAGCGAGGGCTTCCTGAATAAGGGGAAATTTACAGAACCCAGTCCAAACTCTGCGTGGCAACGACCATGTAGATAGAGAGAGAGAGGGAGAGAGACAGAAAAGAAAGAGAGAATGACATATTATCCTTAATCTGATAGTAGTTTCTAATAGTTTTCCATTTCCATAGTGTTTGTACTATTAATTCATAAATACCAATTCTAAATATGGAACATCACTTGCATGTTCTATCAGTCTCTTTACATTCTCTAAATACTGAATAAAATGTAGTGTTATTTTAGTATTATTTTATTTATTTCATGTTTTTTCAACAGAAACTATTTTAATAGGCCTAGGTTTATTTTTAATTTTAGTTCATAAGAATCCTACTCTGCAAAAAAAGATACAATAATTAAATATGACTAAAATACAGTGACATATGTGTTTACATTGAGATGCATTAATCATCCTGCATGTAGCGGAATAAATCAAATCCAGTCCTGTCAGTGAACAACACAAAGCTGCACCTCCAGCACCAGCAGTCAAACAGGTGTTCATATTGGAGTGATCATCATAGGAAAATATTTTCAACAATATTTAAGCTAATTCTTTCTTTCTTTCTTTCTCTTTGTTTTGGAGACATTTGGAGTTGGAAACATTCACTAGGTGAGTTATGACCCCTATGGGGAATTATCACAATCCTTGTGCATACACAGTGGATTTGCTGCTCTGTGGATCTTGTGCCTGCAAGGATATTATTGTAAAGCAAGAGCCTCATGAACAACAGGATTGTTGAAGGCCTGCAGCGGGGCCTCTGTTGTTAACTGTTCCACTTTTATTAGGCAGATTTAAAAAAAGAGTGTTCCTAACATCAAATCCCATTCCCTCTGTGTACAGTGTCCTTTTTTTATTTTTTTACAAAAAGACTTTGTTGCTTTTAACTCCACTAGACCACTTCACGGACCATGTGCTGGTACTGCCTGACCTTGCCAGTGGTTTTGTACAGTTTACTTTAAAATAAAAGGTGAATGTCTATTTTTGTGCCATGTTCTCATGCTAATTTACTTTAAGGAAAATGAGGAGGAAAATTACATTCTCACTCCAGAAATGAGATTAGGAACTGTCCTGAAAGGGTTGAAGTTTTCATGACAAACTTTGTGTTATGTATTTAAAAAAAGAGAGGCCAGCTAAGAACAGCAACAGCAAACCAACGTAGGCTGGTTTAAGATGTTTATTTATTAATTTTTTTAAACACCTATGTTTCTTATGGTTATATTGTCTGTACTGTTATATTTAAGACTAAATATTCAAGCTATAAGAACAAATATGTTTTGTCTTTTGTCGACCAGTATGGTTTTTTTAATGGCAATTAATGTAATGTAATGTAACTTCTGATGCAACAGAAGTTGCGACAGATCATTTTAAGCAGACTTATTCATAGACAGTATGCGAGTATATTATACAACTGTTTGTATAAAAAAGTATATATATATATATATATATATATATACTGTATATATAGGCCTATGAGTATATTATGTTGACTTGTTTGTGATATATTCTATTAAACATACACAACTTAACTAAAATATTATTCCATTAAATTAAAATCACTAACATTTACTAAGTAAACCAGTAATTGCATTCAGTTATTAAACATGCAATTCAGAAGTCACTCTGTTGTTTAACATAATTTAATCAATGATCTCTACACTAAACGGACTATTAGAGTGATTTAACGCCATCAAAGCTGTGATTAAGTCCTCTGTCAGCGATGAGTAAGAAGTATGTAATTTCTGCAGACGCTTACACAGCGGCAAACTCCTTACCTAAAGGAGACCCATTGCCTGTTCTGAAATAGAAACCCCAACAACCACTCCCTCCTCCCACTGTCTGTTCAGCTCTGCCAGAGTCAAAGCATGGAGAGTGAATGCAGCGGTCGCAGAGCTGCCGTACGCAATCTGCGTTAGTGGAACATCACACGTCCACTCCAGCATCCCTGCAACTTCAGCCATGAGTTTGCTTCACTTCTCAACCCTTCTGGGTAGGTCATCACTTTTTCCTAATGGGTCATTTGGTTTAATTCGTTTGCATGCTTCTGTGCATTTGTGCAGATTGAATTTATTGCATTAAACTGCATCAACGAAGACATCGTTGCTGAATGGACTTTTTGCACATTTATGTCCGCTAACAGAGCACTTTAAACGTCTTTAAGTCTTGCTGTGGCGTTATAGTTTAGTGTTTATCTGATGTAATTTCATCCCCAGCAGTCGCTCTTCTAGTGCGGGCTCAGACGCAGCTTTTGCGGGGCTCCTGCAGTTTTGAGTCGGACAGCTGCGGCTACACGTCTGATCCCGCTAATGCTGCCTGGACCATCAACCAGGAAGGTATGACTTTCTGATTTTTTAGGGGCTCAAGCACATTTATTTGAAGTACTGATTTGCCAGTTATTCTTTTAATACCCTAAAAGTGTTTGGTTGTCAGAGACTATCAATTAGACATCACTTGTGGTGGGATGGTCCCCCACCCCAGTACACAAGCGTAGGACACTAGGTGGCGCTATATCTAGTCTCATAACTAACGGACCATAATGGCTTGAGTATCCCCCCCCCCCTTTGAATCCTTAAGGGGATATTTACCCCTTTTTCCTAACTCCTTATAGATGGTTGGTTTGATTAACATGAAACTTAGTACACATTGCCACAATAGGTGTTAGTATAATGTATAGCTAAAATAACACTGACACTACTGTGACAAATAAAAACCATCAAAATGTATGCAAATACTTACTGATTGCACCTGCAACCACCATTTATCCATTTTACATCTTTAAAGACATTTAAGACATTCCCAATTCAATTCTGAATGGCACACAACTTTGATATTGAACAGGTGTGTTATAAGGCACTGTGAATGTATTCAAATGCATCAATTTATATAAAGGACATATACAAATTGCTGCCCTACTTTCTTCAGTGTTTAAGGCTTAATGGTTGCACATCTGCACTTCATTGAGGAAGTCTGCTCTACATAACAGGACTTCCGATCCGATCTCTGTTGGTCTTATTCTGACAAGACACAACTGCTAAGGGTTGTCATACAGTAGATTATTAATTGACCTGTAGGATGTAATCTGGACAGAGATGTTTCACAGATCATGCTCTCAGCTGACAGATGTCATGCTGGTCATTTTTTTTCTTGTATATCTCTTGTATTTTGAATTTACTTTAATATTGCATTCAGCACAGTGAGCACTTTCCATAACCGTCTGTGCTCTGTTCTAAAAATAATTTTGTTATCATTGCTTAACTTTTGTTTTTGTTCTCTGCCAAAAACTATGATGGTTTGTGAACAACTGGATGGGTTCAGCTGTTGTGGGGAATACAGAGTATGCTTCTGAATGACTGTTAACCAAAGTATGATGAAGGAAGTATAATCCAGTGAAGATACGTCGGGCAGTTGTCTGGTTGACAACTGTCTCAACCTTTTGCTTGGGAAGTGAGTTATTCCCCCACAGGTCAATAAAACAAGACGGGCAACACATTTGTGTCTCTGTTTGGTTTCCTGGACAACACGGACTTTGTAGTGGAAACACAGCAGAGACAGACTTCTTAGTTTTAGGAAAATGGAAGCACTTTGCTAAATGTTTAATGAATGGATTCAGACATTTGCCAGAAATGTATGTTACTGTTTATCAAATGCCCACTCTCTGCTACACTGAAGATAATTCAGAAAACCATTTAGAGTATTCACTGTATTTATCTATTACATATACATGCAGCCAAAAATTATGTAAGAAAATATTTCCAGAAGGAGTTGAGATAAAGAGATGGAAATGATGAGAAAGAAAGGAGAGCTGGTGACCTTGTTTCTGCAGCCGTTTTCAGACAGCTGTAGAAATCATTTTAGGCCTTTGGAGATGTACAGCAGACATTCACAGAGTTCACCTCCACATTTTAACCCTTCAAGCCTCAGAAGTAAATGGATTACTTCCAGCTGCTGCAGTGAGTTGTGAGTGTGTAGCAAGAACTGCACTTTATCCTTGACATATTTCTGTGCTAAATTACCCCTCTGCTTATTATTGCCACTAAAAATGCTATTGCTGTATGGCTTGTTACAGATCTGTAATATTTTTATATTATCCAATAGCCTCTATAATGTGACCAATCTTTGGTTTTATGGGAATGCTTGGCTAATCCCAAAGTATTCTTCATTTATTACGCATACGCTAGAGTATACATAAATGTGTGACATACAATGCATCATCACAGACTGAAAAACAAATTGGTAGAAACAATTTTTACTCAGAAATTAATTTCTATTAATTGCTAGTTAATTTCACAATTACACAATTACAATCTACAAAGATAAAACATAAGCACATAAAACATAGAATTAAACATGAAATTTTGAAGGAGAAATACTGAAATAGTGTGTTCTTGTAAAACATACTCGAATAATCTTTATTTTCCAATATTTATTTACACTGTAGTGTGTACATGTACAACCAGAAATTTATGACTGCGCATACTCTGTACACTCAGGTCATAAATGTGCATTACATTTTTAGTTGGTCAGTTGGATAGCTGTTGTTTTACAGTTTCTTGATTGTCATGCACTATAAAAAATGACCGTGAATTTAACGGTAAAAGACTGTAAAAATGCTACAGTAAAAATCTGTTAAATGGTTAACGGTAAATTCCCCTGCTATATACAGTGAAAAACTGTATTGGACATTACATGTATTGGACATTAATTTTACGGTAGTATACCGTTTTTGGAAGTGAAAAAGACCATACAATTTATAGAGAAAAACCGGAAATTGACATTCTCAGAATTCCCTGCGTTACATTTCAAATTTGATGTTTTTTTGTTGAAATAACTATGTTTCTTAGTTTTTTCTTATCAGTTTTGTATATTAGGGTTGTGTGTTACACCTAATGTTGTTAAATGAATGTTTATTGCATTATTTCAGTTTCATGTGTGTTACCATGATGGTGTTTAGTGTTTGTGTGAATGACACTGTGCACCTTCTATATATGTTATTATTTAAAAGCTGCTTGTGATGGGCTTTGGTTCATCATGTGACTTTCTCATCATCACCTGCATTTGGTGGTTATCAGTGTATTACAAAAGTACAAAACAGATTTCAGTATTTCAATAGGTTGGTATATTAACATTATATCAGTTAATGAAATTACGGTATTTAACTGTAAATTTAAGTTTACAAAACAATACCTAAAACCACAGCTGCCGTTTTTTTACCGTAAATTTAACAGAATTTTTTTTACAGTGTGTGGGTGACAGGTTTCTGGAGAGGAGGGATTTTTTATCCTGCCCTCACGATGGTACACACGTCATCAAAGAAGACATGTTTTGGTGTTTGTGTCCATAAATAAGAATTGTCAGGGAGAAAATAAGCATCTGTTTACCTGGAAACTAAGTTTTGCACAGTTGAGACGATAATGTTAATGAATTAACTTTAAAAGGCTCTGCAACTAGTTACAGAAACATTTCCTGGAACCTTTTTACAGTGTATAATAAGCCACGTAGGTCATTGATGTCAGCTCTTCGTCCCATTAGTTATATTGTGGTTATGAAGTATGTTGTCCTATGCTAGTTTTAAATGTTCAACTGTATGTTGACCTTGTGACTATGCTAATACAATGACTGTGGGTTGTTAACACTCTGCTTTGTGGTTTATTGTGAATCATTCCACAAAATGGGGACCTTACCAAAGACATGACTTCACCTACCTCAGAAGCTGATGTTATGGCTGGAGAAGTGGGATATTAATGATTGGTATTCGCTCAGGGACTAAATATATGAGATCTCAAAAGAGGGCCAAACCAAAGTGCAGAAAATAAGTGTGTTTTTATAAGAGGTCATAAAGAAAAGAGAAAAACGGCTTGTTTTTTTTTTTCATCTGGCACCTGGAATGAATCATCATGAGAACATCTGGAGCTATCAGAGATCACTGAAGCTAACGGCAGCAAACACACTCTTACATCATGTCAAGGTTTGATGCATATTAAACAAGAGGAAACGTCTCTAGGTTACGTATGTAACCATGGTTCCCCGAGGTGACGGGAGGCCAGAGGACTCGTAGGCTAGTGAGACGGCCTCAACCACCCACCTACTCATAGTCTGCTTGGTCACCGGAAATCCCTTCTTTGGCGGACCAAAACAAACAAAAAGCTGATCTGCCTTACGCCACGGGCAGCTCTGTGTGCGTAAGCGTCCAGTGCTCGAACTGGACAGAGCAGATTAAG